ATCCTTGAAGCTAGCAGCTAGACTAGAAATTGAAGTCGGAGTTGCAGGGGAGGAATTGTCCTTGGAACTGGAACTGGACTTGCCCATTTTCTTATCAGATCGGATCGGGGAATTCGACCCGATCGATCGCGGACTATTAGAGGATCCATCTGGGCTGGAAACATCGGCGGATTTCTTAGAAGAAAAGAATCGGCCTTTGAACACCATTTTCCGTTTAATGCGTTGTTCCCCTAGGGTTTTATGCTGCTATGGCGTCTTGGATTCCTCTTCAAAGCTCTATGCATGGTGGACTAGTGCAGACTGTTCCGTGTTGACTGTTGATGAAAGCAGAGAAAGAGGGAGAAGTGGGTCTGAAACCCAGAGATCGGGAAAAGAGCGACAGTTGTGAAAATGCTACTTTATGTCTGTAAATTTTTGGAATTTTGTGGGCTTTCAACAATTACGCTAAACTACAGGGGGCATAGAGGAAGAAGAAAGGATAAGGAGGAGTGTTGTGCAATCTTCTTTTCCTTATTAATTTTTGAAAAAAAAAAGTTAAGGAATAAGGGTCAAATAGACCACTAGTATCCGATTGCTCCCATATGTGGAAAGTCTAGGATTCAAGCCTCGGTTGTATTACTTGTATATGTGAGTATATTCCTTCTTTTTTAATAATAATAATAAAAAAAATAGACCACTCAACTACACACAAAAGTGCAATTAGATCATCGAACTCAAAAATAATGTAATTAGATCCAAAATGATCTCTTTACCTAAAAGAAGGCTAACGTTGTGATTACTGATTTTAAAATAATTTTAAATATAATAATTAATTAAAATTAAAAAAAATGCAATCTGTCGTCTTCGTCTCCATGCCGGAAACGAAGACCTTCGTCTCCACCCATAGAGCTGAAGATGAAGACCTTCATCTCCATGACCAGGAGACGAAGGTCCCTGGCGATGGCTTCGTCTCCGGCCATGATGACGACGACAGTGTATTAGTTTTTTTAATTAATTATTTTATTTGAAATTACTTTAAAATCTATAACCTTCACGTCAGCATTCTTCCGGGTAAACAAGTCATTTTGAATCTAATTGCATGATTTGCGTTGTTCAATGACCCAGTTGCATTGTTTTTTAGTTCGATGGTCTAATTACACTTTAGTGTACAGTTGAGTGACCTATTTGACCCTTATTCCAAAAGTTAAAATTAGCCACCAAAGTCCAAATTATATATAAAAGTATAATTATGTTATCCAGCTCAAAAAAGTGTAATTAAATTCTTAAATTATCCAAAATAATGTAATTCAACACGGTCATCTTATTAAAAAGTAATGTTTTTAGTATATTAGACTAATTTTAAATAAAATAAAATTTTAAAACAAAACAAAACAAAAAAAAAACAAAAAAACAAAAAAAAAAAAAAAAAAAAAAAAAAAAAAAACACACACACACACACACACCCTCCTCATCTTACTCTCCGACCTAGAGGCGAAGATAGGAAGGGAGTGTGGTTTTACTTTTTCATTTTTTTTTTGTCTATTTTATTTTATTTTATTTAAAATTATTAAAAATAAATTTAAAAAATGATAATCTTTTAATATAATAGACTAACATCAGCGATGACCTGAGGAACATGTTAAATTTGGTTGATGGTTGAATTGCATGATTTTATACAGTTTAAAAATTTAATTGCATTTTTTAATTGGATGATCCAATTGCACTTTTGCGTGTAATTCAGTAGTTAATTTGGGCAAATTATGTTGTGCATCCGAATGCACCATGCATGGTGCATACGGATGCCAAAACAACGTCGTTTTAATAAAACGCGCGTCTCCCCTTAAAAAAAAATCAGGTTCGATTCCCAGCAACAACAGATGAACTAAAATTCCATAATCGATAAACTATAATTCCATAATCGATGAACTATAATTCCATAATCTAATCTATGAACTAAAAATTCCAGAATGAATGAACTAAAATTTCATAATCTATAAACTAAAATTTCAGAATCGATGAACTACAATTCCATAATCGATGAACTATAATTCCATAATCAATGAACTATAATTTCATAATCTATGAACTAAAATTCCAGAATGAATGAACAATATAATGTTGTTGCTGGGAATCGAACCTGAATTTTTTTTTAAGGGGAAACGCGCGTTTTTTAATAAAACGACGTCGTTTTGGCATCCGTATGCACCATGCATGGTGCATATGGATGCACAGCATAACGATTGGTTAATTTGAACCTTGTTTCATTCTTTTTTTATACATTAGATTTCCTGATATATTAATATTAAGCCCGTAGAGTCCTATCCAATAGGGGTTGGATAAGGTAATCACAAGTCGACTCATTAGTCCACTATTCCCACCCTACATGTATACTATGTGCATTATGAGTGTGTAGTTCATATCTTTTTAAAGATTAATGTCTCTCAATAATCCACAAGTTTCTAGTGGGATTAAATTTTTCTTTTTAAAATTACTTTCTAAATTTCATCTCTTAACGTGTTATTATTTTTTTATAATAAATATTTTTCACTTTTGGTTATATAAAATTTTGTCAACTACATTTTTTGTTTATAAGTTCACTTAATCTTTTTTTTTCTTCTGACTATTAAATTAGTAATGATGGGAAAGTCACTGAAATGTGTTCACCTATCCAACAAACTTTTGGTTCCTCTAGTCATTTTCTAGTCAGGTCTGTATCTAAATTTTCAACCATAAAGGAAATAAAACATTGTTTTTACTCTTCATATTGTCCCAACTGCCAATAACAAATGAAATTCAATTGATTATATCAAGTTATGCTTGATAATCTATGACATGAATCAATAATTTTTTAAATTTTATAAATAATATCATGTAAAATTATAAACATTTGAGATAAAATTATAGGGAAAATATCATGTATATATATATATATATATATATATGCATCTACAATTTCAATAAGAGTTAATATTGTTACTTTGTTAGGCCCCTAACGTGAACTAAAAAAAATGTTGGTTTACTAATATGCTATAAAAGCTTGTACTTTGTGTTCTTTCAATTGTACAATGCCAAATTAAAATCCTAATCTGGCCTCATTCTTTAGTTTTACCAAACTAAAATTGTCAAATTAAATAGATTATGTCAACTTCAAGTGACGGTGGTAATTTTGTAGTTTAAGTAAATTGGATGGCAGTTAACTGTTGGTCTTCTTCAAACAATTAGGGCAACAAAAGCGAAATTCGAAAGGAGAAGTACAAGCGGATTTGGTCTTCGCCGATTACCGAAAGGAGAAGCACAAGTCGATTTGGTCTCTGCCGACTACCGAAAGGAGAAGCACAAGCCGAATTGGTCTATGCCGACTACGGAAAGGAGAACCACAAGCTGAACCAGGTAATTCCATATCTACAACTTCAATAAGAGTCAATATTGTTAGGCCCCTAACGGGAACTAAAAAAAAATGTTGGTGTACCAATATGCTATAAAAGCTTGCACTTTGTGCTCTTCCAATTGTACAATGCCAAATTAAAATCCTAATCTAGCCTCATTCTTTTTAGTTTTACCAAAATAAAACTGTCAAATTAAATTCCTTAAAAAAAACTGTCAAATTAAACAGATTCTATCAACTTCAAGTGGCGGTGACAATTTTGTTGTTTAAGTGAAATTCGGTGGCAATTAACTGCTGGTCTTCTTGAAACAAATTAGGGCAGCAAAAGCGAAATTCGAAAGGAGAAGCACAAGCGGATTTGGTCTCTGTCGATTACCGAATGGAGAAGCACAAGCCGATTTGGTCCCTGTCGACTACCGAAAGGAGAAGCACAAGCCATATTGGTCTATGCCGACTACGGAGAACCACAAGTTGAACCAAGTAATTCCAAGGCATAAGTTGTTTACTAAAATATAGAGATACTGGTTGACCATGATGGGGTGGTTAAAGATTTCAGTGCCGCAGCTCCGGGAGGATGGACATATATCCTTAGAATTTTGATTTTCACAGAAAGTGTATGCAATTTTGATAAAAGGAGAAAATTCAAAAAAGCAAAGCTATAAAATAATTACTTAGTGAAACTAAAGAGGCCAAATCGCCAAAGTGTCAATGGAGTAAGATTCTAGAGAATGAAAAATTGGCCACCACTTGAGTTTAAGGGTGATTGCTTTGATTGTGGAATTAGAATTATAGTTAAAGGTTCTCAAAAAGCCGATACAAAATTGTTTCTAGGAAGTGATCTATACAAATCTACTAATTTGATAAAGAAATCTATAGAATTCTCCCAGCAAATTATTTAAGCTTCTTAGAATTCTCCCAGTAAACTATTTAAGCTTCTCTGGAGTTTCAAATATCCACAATTTATTAGGATCATGGTGAAAGTGATCTATAGAAATATACTAATTTGATAAAGAAATCTATAGAATTCTCCCAGCAAATTATTTAAACAATCCTTAGAATTATCCCATTGCATGATGTTATGTTCCGTGCAAAAGACTCTATAATTATATCCCTTCTAATTTATTCTTGATTTTTATAAGAAGCTAGCTTGGAACAAATTCAATTAAGAGGAGTGGTGGGCAGTAGCCAAGATATTAACCCGGCAGCTAGCTGTTGTAATTTATACAATTTCCCAAGCCTATCTCAATCAAATCTTTCCTCTTTAGCTTTGTGAATGTAAGTTCCAAGAAATTTAGATTTTAAACATATTTCACACCAAGACGAGAAACAAAAAGATTTTTCTCTTAGTAATGCAAAGGTTTTCTCTGACACTGTTGTATGAGAAGGAACCATTCAAGTGGATTCCAACTTTACTAAGATGCATTCAATCAGGTATAATCTAAGAATCCAAATGCTGAGGGTTACCAATTCACAACTTTTCTTGTAGCCTCCACAGAATGAGCTTGGAGAAGCACCAAGTTCAGTCTTGATTAGTTCAACCTTGAAGCGTGGCTTTTCCTTGGCATTCAATATTACAGTTAGAGGCCTCCAATTTTGTTGAGATGTAAAACTAGTCAGAGAAGTTAGTATAACCCCCTTTTTTATCAGCCCTCAACTTAAATAAAGATTATAATTTCATAAAGAACAGGCTAAGGACATTGAGTATTCTGCACCCCAGAAAAATGGGCATACTAACCCTGTTTACAAAGAAAACAAAACAAAAATGCTGGTCAGTCAAGCAAGTGAATTGCGAAGGAGGTGGCCGTAGGGAACCCTTGAAATGTCCAACTTTCACCCTTTAACATTTTTCTTCTTTTTAGATGACTTTGAGTTTTCATCTTTCCTTTTTCTTTTCTTTTCTTTTTCTTCTCTTCTTTGTCTTTTCTTCTCATTTTTGTCTCCAGATTTTGAGGGTTCATCATACTCACTTCCTCCCGCACAGGTACTATCAATCCCATCGTTACCCTTTTCAGTTCTTCGTTTTTTGTTTTTCCCTTTCAAAAAATCATCATTCACTGAATGCTTAGCAAATCCTCCACTTTCAGATGGTTGCTTCTTGGCCGACTTCTTTGTTTTAGCCTTTGAACCCTGGTAAGCCAAAAATGGGATACTGGAAGTTCGGGAAGAAGCAAAACTGGTCTCAATCTCTTTCCTCATTTCTTTCAACTTTTCTGGCTGTGATTTGTGTGTATCTGCAAGAAAGCTATCTTTTCTTGATTTGGTACCAGTAGCTCCAAATTCAGCATAAAATTCCTGTCTGGCAGATTGTTGCGAAGCTTGTCTTGATTTCCATATATCCGGTTGTTTTGCATATCTGATATGATAACAAACAAATATAAGAAATGTAAAAAGAAGAAAATCTGAGGAAGTGAAATCTAATGCTTAAATAAGTTTCGAAGAAATCATTTCATCAACTTTATTCTGTGCATGCTTGAGATTGGAACGCTTTGGCCAAAAAAAAAATTCCAATTCATAATAATTTTGCTTTACTTTATTGGGCCCATGATCTTGGGTTTGATTTATGAAACTGCCATTAAAATTAACTGTTCCAGAAAAATTACATGGCAAATGATCAGTTGGGGAGAAAAATGATGACTTACCCATCAACGTCAAATCTCCTAAGTAGGTAAGGTCCCTGCTTTGTTCTCGACAACTCAGCTTGCAATGGTAACATCTCTGAAATAATTTTCTCCCTTAGAGGCAAGTTGCTTGCATTGAAGCATTTCTCAATCATAAACGATCCCAATGGATGAACTGAGAGTTCACCAAAATGTCCTTGAAGCCTAAAAAGTTATGGGAGTCATGGGAATATAGTATTAGTTCAAGCCTGAAATCAACAATCCAATAGTCAAATAGAGTAACAAGGGTAGATCTAAAATCTAAATATGTACTTGATCAATAGCTTCCTCTTATGTTTTGCAGAAACATTTGAGTTTAGAAATGCTTCAATAACACGTGAACCACTGGGATCTTTAGATGCTTCAAGAAGTTGATGCTCTTCCAAAGATGTGATACCGGAAATGAAAGCCTTTATCAATTCCTATAGGACACAAAATATTTTAACAAAGAGTAGTAATAGTTCCAAACAAGGTTGAAAAAATCGCTAGGCGCCTGGGGACCGCCTAGGGCGCCTAGAGCGATTAATCGGCACCTAGAGCTCCTAGGTGGGCGCCTAGGTGGCCGACCGCCTAGCGCCTAATCGGTGCCTAGGCATGATTTTTGCAACACTGGTTCCAAATCATAAGTAAATCAAAACCGACTATTTAAATAAAGGAAAGTAATAGTTTCAAATCACAAGTAAAACTGAAATGGATTTGCTTTCAGAACTTGTTGATAAGAGTAAACCAGCAGAAACGTCACAATCTGGTTGCAAGATAAAACCAAGACACCAAAAATGATGGTAAAACGCAACAAAGTTTTTAAAAAGCTAGATCCCCTAGAAGCCTAGAAATAAATAGAACACTATAACAAGGGCAGAACCATTTATTTCTTTTTGTCTCTCTGTATTTTTTCCCCAAATATGGAGTCATCTCATAGAGAGGTCAATAGGAGGAATCTTTTAAGAGTAGCACTAATGTAATAAAACCTGCCTCCCCCTAGATGGACCAAGAAAAACACTGAAATTGAAAATAAAAACCAAGAAAAGAAAACGAGACACATACACTGGGGAATCTAAAAATTGACTGCAGGATCAAAGAGCCAACAACATGGATCCTGGTGCCATTTGGCCAACTCCAGTTAGATTTGTCTTCAGATCTAAAATAATTGTCAAGAAACAGTATGCGTGGAATAATGCACATGAGAGGCTCATTTTCTACACAAACAGCGGAAGCAAGTGCCTGACAACACTGTAACATTAACCAAAAATAGAGAAAAAGATTTGGTCAGACTATTTAATTTTATTAGGGCTGATTATCTCCACCCTCCAAATTCCATAAGCTACAAAATTTTAAAGAAAAATGAGAAAAATTTAAAGGGAACATGTTTGACCACAAATTACAAACCTCTTCTTCACAGTGATGGAGCTTTTGAGTTGCAGCAACAAGAGAAGCAACTACTCCAGAGCGGCCCATTTCAAGTAGGTCCTTAAATTTAGTTCCAAGCTCCGCCCAAATCAAGTCAATCTAGTAGCAAAGGGGAGGGAGATTTACAAGAGTAAGTATGAGCAATTCATTGCAAAAAAAAAAAAAAAAAAAAAAAGATCTTTAAAATCATTAAACATTCTTTTGTGCTTCTGAAACCTAAATGTAATGCCTGCAGAAGGTCTATGCAACAAAATATAAACATGAGTGTGTACATGCAGAAAGAGAGGGAGTGGTGTGCAATTATCATTCTTTTTGCTATGTATCTCAATGAAGAAGACATTAATGTTTTCAATACAGCAATAAACCATGGGAATTACATGCTCTGAGCATTTAGCATGAGAAGCTAAAGCCTGCACAACAAAGTTCCCACAATGATGAGATGACATCTGAAACAATGAGTTCTTAAAGACTCTCTGTAATAACTCCTTGTATATGGGTTCAGGAGCAACTTCGATGATAACCTGTAAAATGGGCATAAGCTCAAATTAAATTCAAAGAGATTACCATTCTAGTGGAAACTAATGGAGGGAAAATTTTAATAGCTATCCTCTGCAAATGTGTTATAACTTAATAAACTTATGGAAGTACAGGTGTAGTATTAAGCATGTTAAAGGAGTAGGATGATAATGTAATACATAGAGGAGCAAAGTAGATGTCTAGATAACATTTTGGGTAGTTAGTGGTTGATTTATTCCTGTGAAGTTTCATTTAGTCTCAATCATAATGACAGAAATTTGTTCTCAAGATCTCTTGGACCAAAAAAGAGAAAAGCAATAGGAAAACTAGAGATAATAAGATACAAACAAATTAACAAGAGTTCGACCCTAAAATTTATACCTCAAATAAATGACTGTATGCAGGTTCTTCCACCCACTTTAGAATTTCTTGTAATCTAGGTCTTCCTATGAAGTTCCCATCCATTTCCATGTTGCAGCCAAGAAGAATTTGGATTATATGCAACAGCTCTGCTTCATTTCCAACCAATAATTTCAATGCTGTCTGCCATTTAGTAGGTAGGATGCATCAATGGGTATTATCAGTGTCAATAGCACAAGGAATTAATTAATTAATTAAAGCTAAAAATATCTTGACTCAAATAAACAGCAAGCCAAAATTCATAGTATATCTAAAACATGCCTGCAGAACCAAACTGCAATACTGATCCATCAAAAGATTAGAAATGTCTTCTCTTGTGGTATTTAACATCTCTGACACAAGGTATTTGAGCAAATCTGGGAAACTCTGGTTAGAATATGACAACTTGTTGCCTTCTGATCGAGGAGCCTTAAAATTCATCCGTTCTGCTAGTACAACTGCCGACTTTGTGCTATGGAATTGTTCTAAGGGCACCCCATTCAATAGACAAAGAAGACTCCGAAGCACATGTGATCCATAAGCATTGCAAATTATATCAACAGGATTGACAATAATTTCCTGATGTAAAAAGGTGGCAAAAAATAAGTATTCTTGCACAAATTGGTGCTTTTTCTGTTATCCCAGAATGGTTGACCAATCTTAAATCACAGTAAATAATCACAACAAAGATGTTTTCATACAGAACAGTGAGAAAAGCTTTTAGAAACTAGAAAGAAACTGTAACATAAGTTCTCCATTTCACACCTCACATATTTTCCTCAAAGTCTCTTCGATAAGAGATAGTTGCTCACAATCCTGAAGGTGCACAGCCAAAGATTTCAAAGCTGTTTCAGCAACATGAGACCCAGATCTGTCTGTTGCAATATGGGAGAAATTCTTTGCACAGCTATGAAGAAAACCACAAAGGTGATCTAGAGAACAGCCCTCCAGAAGAATTTGCAGTGTATGGCTTATTACATAATCAGTTGCAAGTTCTACTTCTTTCCCTCTTGTTTCTTCTAATGCATTGCCACATATAACCGACCGCTCTTCTAAGTCAATCTCCTTGCCTTCTATGACATTTGTAATCTCTGCAAAGTACTTTTCAGTTTCTGGATCAATCTGATTCCTAAAGGAAGATTTCAGTACAACAGTGAGCTAACGTTGTCAATGTACTAAAATGCCAAGTCAATTGAAGTTATATCTTCGGAAGTTGAAACCAAAAATAAAACCATTAAATGAAGACACAACCTGACAAATGGTGTATAAGAAGTGCCTTTCTGGTACTTTGAGGATTTTTGAGCTTTAAAATTGCCATCAGCAGTTTTTCCACCAGATAGATATTCAGCCGACTTATCAGCAGGAAATCCAGAATGCTTCTTCCCATCCCTTCTACCCATATTTCTCTTCTTTTTGTACTGATTAAAAGAAATGTTGTCCTGAGGTGTCAAACCTTCCTCAGTTAAATTATGTGCTTTATTGTTTCTCAACAGTAAAGCTCTCCGGCCTATAGAAACCATATGCTTTTACAAAGAAAAGCCTGCTCACTGTAAACCTAAGATTCAACAATATAATTTCACCAAAATAAAAGAAAGAAATGATTTAATTATTACAAACTACTACACAATTTAAAAGTACGATTTTTAGCAGCCAAAACATAAGAAAAGCAGGGAAACAAAACAGTAACAACAGTATAAAATGTCATCAAATACCAGTTTTCTTCTTTTCCATAATGCAACCCACAGTCAGAAAATTTATTTAAATTCTAAAAGCAGAGTTCTAAAAGAATCCAGCAATTCCCAATTCCTACCAGTATAACAAATCACTACATTTTAATTTCTCTAAGCAAACCCACTACTCTCCCATTAATCATAACACAAAAACATTAGCATGAAAAGAAAGAAAATAAGGAATCATTCAGAGTTTGATTTAGTTAGCTATTAGGCTAAGCCAGCTAATTATTTGTTGCAAAGCAATTCCTTTTGCAGCAACAGTGCAATCAATTTCACCAAGTATTGAGGGCTTAGGCTTGTTATCCTAAGAATGGATTACAATTTCCAAACAGAGATGATTGGGTGGTTGAAGTACGTGCAGCAAAGCTTCAAACCGGTCTTTAAAAACTTGCCATACAACCACACACTCAAAATCCCCATGATTTTCTCTGCATATTTAGTTACTCAATACAAACTTAAGATTTCTAACCTCTTCAAGCAAGTTCATGGAATACTTCACCATTGAATTGATTTCATGTTTCGTCATTGAAATAGTTCGAGTCTTTAATTAGTGGCAGCTGAACTTGCTAAAATATTTCTTTTATTGGCAACTGATTAAAACACATAAACACAAAGCAAAAACTGTATATAAACAAGACTAAAGAAAGGACAATGTCAGTGCAGTACCCTTGGTAATGATAAATTAGGTACCATTTGAATACTAAGTCATGAAGTTATCCAAATTTCATCGAGCTGAGCTTTTATTTACTAACCAAAAGTCAAATTTTAGTCTATATATTCAACAACGCCAATTACTCAGAGGTGATGAAGTAAAATAGCAGAATAAATTGTCTATTAGGGAAGAGATCGAATACAATGGTCACTTATTTCCGCCTAAACAATGAGGATTCAACTCAGAACACATGCAGGAAATTTATAAATCCATCAGGAAAACAAACAATGCATATTTTCATGAAATCAATTCCATGAACTGAAACACCCCAAAGCATCTCCAACAATCGAGAAAAGCCCCAAAAAAAAAAAAAATTATGGTAATTCTGCAGAACAGGAAAACGGAAAAAAAAAAAATGTATACATATACACAATTTGGTATGTGTAAAAGATTTGATACCTCCAAGGCTCCAAATAGAGACAGTTTCAAAGCTTCTTCTCCAGGATCTTGAGTCGTCCACAACAGCTTGTAACCGGTCAAGTTTTTGCCGGGACTTAGACAAGTAGGAGATGTTAGCGATAGCATTAGGGGTATTGTGGTTTAGGGTTTTTCTTCCGTTCTTGCTGTTTTTAATTGTTTATTTGAATTAATTTCACTTTTGGTCCCACGACTTTTGATGTTCTATCACTTTTAGTGCACAACTTTAAAAATTTTTAATTTTGGTGCCTAACTTTGTTATTTTTATCAGTTTTGGTCCTTTCGCCCAAATTGACAGCGAAATGTTGCAGTATTTTATATTGTTAGGAGTAAAATCGCCATCTCAAGGAAACATCTTCAATATCTAAACAAAATCACTGTAAAATTATATCTATAGGTGTTTGATGATGAGAGTAATGGGAAAGACGGGCAGAAATCAGACAGATCTATGGGATTTATAGTTTCAACCATTGGCAAACTCTTTTTTTTCATCTTAATATGATTTTTCTTTTGTTTAAATATTGAAGATCTTTCCATGGGATGACGATTTTGCCCCTAAAATATAAAATTTGGAAATATTTTACCGTCAATTTGGCTGGAAGGACCAAAACTGATAAAAATAACAAAGTTAGGCACCAAAATTAAAAAAATTTAAAGTTGTGCACCAAAAATGATAAGAATTCAAAAGTCGTGGGACCAAAAGTGAAATTAATTCTTTACTATTTCATACATTGTTTATCACTGTGTCTGAATTGAACCAACACCTATCCCTAAACTTTACCAAATTCTTTTAGATTTTAATTAGCTTGCTAATTAAATCATGACAAATCTTTTGAAGCATCAACTATAATTGTTTAGAGTGAGTTTTTTTACCCTGTTTTATGGAAGTGAAACAATTTTAAGAAAAATGTGGGTGTCACACTTTTTTTTTTTTTTTTGATAAAATATCGTGATTGAAATTTTGTTAATAAAATTTATATAAAAATTTCCTTACAAAATAGTACATAAATTGATGAGAGTACGCAATAGGTCAATTCACAACTTGGTAAATCTAGTTGAATTTAAGTTTCTTAATACTTGGATTGAATAGCTCGCAAATTTAATCAAACTTGTTTTTAAATATTTATCTATTGTATAATATATAATGTTTTTAAATTTAGTTAATATTTATATTTATATGATATAAAATGGCATAAGTGAGATTAATATGAATTTTGTTAAAATATTTGTTGTAACCGATGCAAAGGGGATTGTAGATAGGGATGACAATAGGTTGGGGTGGGTCGGGGAGAGCAACATCCATCACCCGACCTACTTTATATTTTTTTCATCCACCCGTGTTCTCAAGTCGTATCGTGTGGATTTTTTCAAAATCCACCCCTACCTTCACCGGGTGCGGATGCCCACTACGGGTACCCACCACTTATCATCTTATTATTTTTTTTAAAAAAAATAATATTTAAATTACTTACACATAATACAATAATAAAATTCATTAGTGATACTAAAACATAAAATAATAGAAATAATTAAATATAATAACTAAATTGTTAATTTTTAAAAACAAATTTAGTAGTTTAGATATAAAAATAGTAAAAAGATACACGAAGTTATATAAACTTTTATAAATAACTACATATTAGTACTTACTTTACTATTATATATATACACACACATACATGGTGGGTCGGGTGGGGTTCTAGACGGGTTTTGTACATAGAACCCAAATCGAACCGACCCGACCCACCGAGAATTTACTTTTTAAAGATCCACTCCCGTCCCACCACCCACCATCATCCAAAAAAAATCGATCCATGCGGGAGTAGATTCGGGTGGATACCCGCGATGCGGATTGAAATTGTCATCCCTAATTGTGGTGTGCAATGGGCGTAACTTGATTAAAGTTTGCGTAAAAGAGATTAAATTTTTTTTTTTAAAAAAAAAAAAGAAAAAAAAAAAGAAAAAGATACAAATATATCATTGAACTATTTTGGAGATAGCAATTAAGTCACTAAACTTAAATAAGCTCTAAATTCATTCATGAAGCCACTGAATTCGAATAAGCTCCAAATTCATCCATAAACCTGGAAAAACCAAAAAACAATTAGCATGTTTAGCAGGTTAACAACATGTTGTATATTTTATTTTATATTTTATATTTTATTATTATTATTATTATTATTATTATCCTACCAAGCATTTGACCTTATCAGTGGATGCCATGTTTTATATTTTGTTATTATATATTTTATTTTTCATCAATCATGTATTATATTAATTAGTTGTTTCCGGTGCAAATTATTTGGCTTGCATGTGTGGATTTGGTAATCAATATCATCAGATATGTTAAGTACAAACAACCGAAAACCCTCATCATATCACTTTATGCTAGGCAAGGGACTTAATTAATAACTTTCAGGGGGCGTTTGGTTCATCAATCATGTATTATTAATTAGTTATTTATTTTGTTTTAATCCCAGTTTACATAAAATTCAACCCAAGTCATCAAAGTACAATTATTATTGTGTGGATCATATTTTGTCTACTGTAAAATAATGTACATTCCGTACAAAAATAATGTACATTGTATTCAGGAGATGTATATTATTTTTGTTCTAAGCGTACATTATATTATATAATGTACATTCAGTACAAAAATAATGTACATTTAGTATATTAAGAATGTAATTTTTGTTAGAGAAATTTACAAGGAGCAAAATAAAGTTACAACCAGTATGACGAGGCTCTCACGTGACTAAATTGAGGATATTAGGAAGAAAATGTATGGTGAATTGTATTGTATGCTTTCTTACTCAGGTTTGAGTGATGATCTTTCAAGTGAAGCTACATTGATAACTTGTTACATTTTAAATAGAATATCAAATGAAAAGAATAAGATAATGTTTTACAAGTTGTGGCATAAGAAGCAGCAACTCAAACTAAATTATTTAAAGAGTTAATAATCGAAATGGTCCCTTGATTGTAGTAAAATTATCAATTTGGTTCTTGACTTTTTTTTTTTACCAGAAGTTCCTAAACTTTAAAAATCTTAACCAATTTGGTTATCCGTTTGTTTGACTGTTAGTCAACCGTTAACTTCAGACCAAATTGGTAATTCGCTATAGTCAAGGGACCATTTTGGTAATTAACTTTAAGGGTGGACAATTCGGTTAAGTTTTCTCGAACCGAACCGTACCAAACTAGTTAGATTCGGTAATATACCGAACAACCGAACAGTAATAGGTTCTTGTATACCGAACGGTTCGGTAAAAACTCGAACCGGACTGAATTGTTCGGTAAAAACCGAACCGAACCCAATACTGTTTGAACTTTGAATTGCTATTTTGTTATATATTAGACTTTAGATATGGACTATGTAAACACCATAACACATAATATAGAACTTTTGATAACAAACCATAAAAAATCAAATAAAACATTTACAAGAGATACCCGTGAGAATATGAGTTGAACGGCAGAGCAAGCAGCAAGTGACTTGGATTTACTTTTTATTTATTTATTTATTTATTATTATTATATTTAAAAAAAATCAAACGGTATTCGGTTCAGTTCAATTTTTTACTGAACAAATTCGGATCAATTTTTTATCGAACTATTCGGTATACAAGAATTCAATACCGTTCGATTGCTCGGTATATTATTGAACCAAACAATTTCGGTATGGTTCGATTCAAGAAAACTAAACCGAATTGTCCACCCCTAAAAATAATTACCAAAATGGTTTATTGACTATAGCGAAATTATCAATTTGGTCATAAGTTAATGGTTAACTAACGGTCAAACAAAGGAGAACTAAATTGTTTAAAAAAATTTGAAGTTAAAGGACTTAATTAGTTAAAAAAAAATAGTCAATGACCAAATTGATAATTTGGTATAGCCAAAGGACTATTTTGGTAAATAACTCTAGTTTTTATTTTTGAATGAAACGTGATGGGTAGAATGTAAAAAGGGGATTGGAAAGTAGATTTACACGTGAGCATACAATTGTGTACAATACTGACACGTAGCACAACACGTGAGCATTCTTGCGAGAATTCACATGGGGAATGCTAGCGTGACTGATTAGTTCTGACAGGCCTTCGCAATTAAGCAAATCTATCTAGCCAGGTGGCGCTTTTGGATTCGACCTCGTCCATGTGATGCGCTATGCCACCGACAAAATGGGCACGTTTTCTATGTTTTTAATTTTTAAGCTACTTTTCCCAATAGGCCCCTGCTTTCATCAAAGATAAAGTAGTAAGCAGTAAGCAACTAAGCACGCTAATTTAAAATATTGATGTTCAATTTTTTCTAATTTCTGGGAGAATTGAAGAATTTAAAATAAAACATGTTTAATAAAGAGTTTTTCATTTTTTTTTTAAAAGGACAATTTTTGAAAATTAGAAAACTATTAAAATATATTTTTTAAATGAAAAACAGAATAATCTATTTAGTTATAATCATGTTTGGTAAAATAATTAGCTTATCATCCAAATTTGACTTATTTGATCATTATTAATTATTTGACTTGATTAAACAATCAATATGAATGTTTGATTAATTAACTTTTTGTAATAATTTATTTATTGCTCCAAAATGTGAAAATTAAAAAAAATACTCAAAGTAACTTTTTGAGAAGTCATTTTGTATGTAATTAACTAACAAATAATTTACCACACAATTTTTTACAGTAAACTAATGCTATCAACTAGTTAAATCTACTAACTTAATCAGCTAACAACCATTTATCAAATACCCCTATATGTTGTTGTAACCACATTCTCACCACTATCCACTTACACAGTTATTCATTAGTATTTTTTTTGAAAATAGTTATTCATTAGTATGATTACATTCATTGTCATATTCTTTTACTTATCACCCTCTTTTATCAGTTTTACTAGCATTACTTATTTAAATATGACTTATTTGCTTATGTTTAAAGTTAGACATTATTCACATTATCAAAATTAAAATTTGAATTATATACCAAGTTTTATATTTTGATTGAACTCAATTGATTATTGTTGGTTAATATATTTTTAGTTATGTTATATTGTAATAAAGTTTGCTTCGGATATTAAATAATGAAATTTTGCACATTTTA